AATTGCGACTGTAATTTAAAGTAATACTTAATATGGATGCCTAGGTGAATTAAATCTGTATTTTTTTAAAATCAGTAATTTTTCGTTTTGATATACACCAAGTATTGTATATTTATAAAACATTTATTTACTAGTAAATGATATTATTCGAGAATAAAATCTTTGAAATTCTTTGCTCTAAAGAACTGACTCATTAAAATAAATTTTCTTTCGTTACAATTTTACCAGCTTTGTAGTTGCTCACTAATATTTGATATAAAATAATATAAATATTTTATATTATTAATCGAAATCATGTGAATTTGTAGTTACACTATCAAATACTAAGAAATATGCTAATTTTTGATACGGATATAGAATATATATATGCTATAGAGCATTTAAAGTGCTCCTTATCAGCTCTTATCTGGGCAGCTTTTGTTGCTGTTGTTTTTATTATTGCTTGCTGTGGTAGGCGGGCTGCACTTTGTAACCAATTTTGTTGTGTTTGTTTTGCCTTTATTTATTTTTTTTGCTGCGCATTAAATTGGCTTGTGCTTTGCGGTCGTGGGCCAGGCTAGGCTAGAGTCGAGTCGGCTCAACTGACTTGGGCTCATCGTAGAGCTTCAGGCATTGGGCCATATTCCGGGCGCAGCTGTTGCAGCGTTTTTTTTTTTTTTTTTTTTTTTTTTGTCTCTTGTTGTTGTTGTTATTGTTACGCTGTAGCTCTCTGTGGCAACGCTGGCTTTGTGAAATAGCAATTACTTTTTCATGCTTCACTGCAATAAAATTGCAATTTTATGCGGCCAGCCGCCAAACAAGCGAAGCCTCCCAAAGACGGCAACAACAACGGCCAGCTGAACGGAAGTGCAGCCATTGAAAAGGCATTTCAAAATGGCCGCAATTTATGGCGGCAACAGTCGCTGCCAAAAGTTAAGGCCACAAAACAGGCCATGACTAGAGCATTTAACTGTCATGTGGAGTCATTAAAGGGCGTCAAGTGTATAAGCATCAAGCGAATAAATATTTGAACGTGCGATGCACTCCAGCAATGTTAAGACGTTGATATTCGAATAAAATTGGGCTTGAAGCTACATTTTAGTTGAATTGAAAGCGTGGCATGGACAGGCAAACAGAATTCTATGGGTATTATGCTGAAAAATTCTTTAAAAAAAGTAGAATTGCTATTGAATGAGTTTTGTGAAAGGTTTTACTAGAGAAGAGTAAGAGATATTTGTATGGAATTCTTACTTTTATTTTGCTTTAGTTAAGTAGTTAGTTTGCTCTATGTAGAAAACCAGACACGTAGATGTATACTGTATAGTATGTACATATTACATATTTAAAACGATTTTTATTGAAGACTCAAAAGGGTAGCCAAACATAAATCTAGAAAGTTCTCTAGCTTTCACTAGAGTGAAATATTAATATTAAACTTGTTCAATTATTTAAGCGAAAAATGCCAATCGAACATACGGATATTTATAGTTAAACTAAGTTATCAATTTTTAATTGAACAGAAATTAAAGTTTAATTTAATGCTATGATTAACAGTGATTTCGAAATTGTAAAATATTTTATGTTATACATTATATCTAAAGAGAATTTTAATGGCGCAAATTAGGTCAAGCATTTGCTAAAGCAAAACTTTTAAAAGTCTGTAATTGTTTCTCACATTTCAAATACCATTTGTCTTGCTCAACGATTTGCTTTTGAAATTCAATTTAAATTTGACTAAAACTAAAATCTTGCCAAATAGTCTTCCAACTTGAGCGGAGACTCATGATCTCAGTGCTCTTTTTCGTTTTACTTTAAATTTCAAGAAATGGCAAATTACATTCAGACATCCGTCTGCATATTCATTAGTTGCGCTTCCTGTTGAAAATGCGCTGCCCGAAAAAGTATGCTACGCTTTTTTATGCCCAGCTGCAATGCAAATAAACAGCAGCAGCAGCAGCAGCAGCGACTCAGCTGTGTAAAAGTAGATTTTAAATATACAATGCGCTTTTATCCTGTTGCGCTGCTCTGCTTTGCTTTCTCACTCACTCATCGTCTCTCCCTCTCTGTTTGTTTTATTATTACATTCATTTTGACACTTCATCAGACGTTGGCCCTGTTTATAACTCTTTTTTTTCCTGCTTCTGCTGCTGCAGCTGCTGCCTGTTTGCTTTGTGTTCTGATGTCAATGCTTTGCCTTAAAGGCTTAGCTGCCCCGCCCACGTCCACGTCCAACGCCAACCGCGCCCCGCCCCCCACCATTGTCAGGCTGTGCGCTCGTTAGCTGCGACGCTTGCGGGCGCTGCGTTTTGTTTAAGAATTTTTTAATTTGTAATGCAAAGCAAAACGGGCACGTAAAGAGAATGCAATATGCAAACGTGCAACAAGCTGAGAATGTAAAAAAAAAAAAGAAACAACCAAGACTTTTACCCATTTTCCGAGCCAGGCCTGGCAAAAGACTAAAATGCGTATTAAATCTAAGAAGAAACACGTAAAAACAAACTAAAAGCAAACTGAAATTTATGTGCATAATTTCGTTAGGTGTTCATTTTGTATGCAAATCGTGGGCAATTACATTTGGTGTAAGGGAAGGACGTTAGTTAGTTTTGCATGAAAATACAGTGATTTTAATAGGTAGTTTAATTAAGGAAATATAAATAGAAAAGGATATATGTTTTAAAAAAATGTGGAAAAGCTAAAAAATATTTATTTAAAATCTAAATATATATTTTTATTATTTAATAATTTGAGAAATACTAAGGATTTCTATGTTGAAAGCATTGTATACGGACTTTATTTTCTTTATTTATTTTTAATAAATATAGTTACGCTGTCTGTCGTATACATGTATGTATGTATGTATGTATGTATGTAGACAAATTATAGCCATGCAGCAGAGTTAGCAAACGTGTTCGAGCTGAAATCGTCGGCTTAGCAACGTCAACTCGATGCAGTGAGAGACCGAGACATACACACAAAACTTTATTTAGCTCAACGAAACGGTGGGAGAACAGCCCAGAGCGTAAAAAACGACAAAAGGCTAATTTTCGATCGTGAACGAGTTCGTTGAAGAATTGATGCAATCGCTTGCTCTCGGGCTTTTTCCTCAGAATATGAGTAAAACACTTAATTGCAGACATCGACAGGTCAACAGTTACTTGCCAGCTCTTTCACTCTATACAAATGTAAATCCCCTAAACCTCTCTTAATCCCACTGTCGTTTTTACATTACAGTTTTAATCGTGCTGCTGAGTTTTGGGTCTAACAGCTGGAATAAATAAGGTCTTATAATAAATAGAAAAATTAATAGAAAAAAAAATATTTTAAATAATAAATAATTAAAGACTATAAATAACTTAAAGGCCTGTTTTTAGAATAACTAACTATCTAGTTTTGGCATAAATATAATAGAGTTATACAAGTAATATTAGCTTTTAGCAATTATTTATGCTTGTAATTTCCCATTAAAATGCAATTTTATCAAATCCGTAATAAAAAACCAAAGATAATCTCTACTTGAATACCGAAATTGAATTTTAATTAATTTTATAGCAAACAGCTCAGCCAATAGCTAACTGCCCCCATTCATGGTGTCATACTCGAAAACGTTTTCATTTCGTAGCTGCATTATAATCGAGTGCAATTAAAATGCACCTCCTGCCTCTGCTCACTCTCGCCCCCATTTTATTTTTCTCTCTCTCTCTCTCTCTCTCGTTGGCATTGTAATCAATATGCCATTATCAAACTTTAAGTTGGCTGCTGGCGGGTGCTTCCTGCTGCTGGCACCTACCTCATGAAAATCCATCACAGAGCCAGGGGCAGAGTATTAACACAGTCTGTTGCTACTGCCACGCCCACTGGCCCAGAAGCTCGCATAGAGATTGTGGGTGGGCGCCACAAGTGGCAATCATTAAAAATGAATTCTCAAGCAAGCGCAGCCACAATTTTCGCTGCACTTGCCTCGTGCCACAAATCCAACACTGAATGCTACTTAGTGGCATGAAATTCCCATTGTGCGCTGTGTGGCATGCCGCACACAAAAAAGTGAAGAGATGAGGCTGTGGAGGAGGAGGAGAAGGAGAAAGAGCATAAGGCAACTTGTGATCCAAAAACTGCAAAGAACTCTTAAGAAATTATCAAATTGAGATGCAGAAAGGGCTAGAGTGAGATAGAGAGAGAGAGAGACATACTGAGTGAGTGAGTGAGGCAGCCAATTTTTAGTATTTCTTGCTCGTTTTCAGTTGCATGCATAAATAATTCGACGATAACGATGGCAGACAAATAACGGAGCATAAGAGTCTTATTCCTCTCTCTCTCTTTATGTGTTTGTGTGTGTGTGTGTGTGTGTGCGGGTGCGTGCGTGCGTATATGTTTGTCAGAGCCAATTTATTATCGCCAAGAAGGCGAGCAGTCGTCCAAGCAAAAACAGCAGCAGAAGGCAACCAAGAAAATTTGTATGTTAAAAACTTTGTGGCTCAATAAAAGTTTGCCTTTGTTAAGCGCAAGCCAGAACAATAGAGAGACAACTGAGCTTGAGGGCGGCTGCAGCTTGTAGGACAGAGACATATGGCAAATACAAAAATAAAACGGGGAGAGCAAAAAAAAAAAAAAGACCCAGAAAGCGCAAAACTTTCATTCAGTGCCGCCCGCATGCAAACACTGGAACGGAACAGGCATCGAATCAGCTTGTGAACCAAGTTGCATCGACCGAAAACCAGAAACTCGTAAACTTTTACATATCAATAAATTTCAGTTACCCCGCACAGTCCTCCCCGCCCATTGTCCGCTTTGACCTATCACCGTCTCACACAAAACTACATCTTGTTCCATTTGCCGCACGAATTATTGATGTTGATTTGCGGTGCTATTGTGAGCTGGAAAATGGCAAATGGCAAACACATGCAGCTATATATGCAGCTAGCCACACCCCCTTTTTGGAATCTTTTTCTTTTCTTTATCAATTTTGCTGTTGCTTTGTGGAAACTAATTTTCATCTTTGTCATTGTATTTCTCTCCATTTGCAGTTTGCTTAGCAGGATATCATGAAAAGAGACTGTTACATGATCTATTGGATCCTTATAATACACTAGAACGTCCGGTTCTCAACGAGTCGGACCCGTTACAATTAAGCTTTGGTTTAACTTTAATGCAAATTATCGATGTGGTGAGTACTAAAAATTTTATTGATATACATATATAATATAATATATAAAATATAATAATAATGGTAAAATAACAAAATAAAGCCCATTAATTTACGATAATAATAAACCAAAATTTTTAATACCAATTAAGTTATTAAGTATTAAAAATATATTAATTATATTATAAATTGGGCTTAGATTTTGATTAGGTGAATGGTTTGAGTTTCAGTGATCTCAGTGATAAATATGCAGGGCTAAAATAAATATGGCATACATTTTTTGAGATTCTAATCAATTATTTAATTAATATACATATATATAAAATTTGAAAAATCTTATAAAAAAAAAAAAAATTAAAACAGAATCAGATAAAAAAATTAGATAAATAGAAATGCATTTCCTTCACCTTAATATCTTTACTGCTATTGCATTTCATATATTATAAAGAGTGGCCGAAAATTAGTGATACTATAAAATATACTATATAAAACTTTTTTGTTATCTAAAAATCTAAAGCTTTATTCAAACTATAGATAAATATTTTTCACAGTTGCATTAAAGGTGAATTCAAAATGTCTACGCCCTTTGAACAATTTCAAAAATTTCATAATATAACCTGCTTTCATATTTTGTACAAATTGTGCTCTCTATATGAAACTCTAATTCCTTTAACTTTTTCAAATTTATATTCCCAAGCACAACGTACGAAATTTCCTATGCAAGGAGCATGTCAACCTATTTAACACGGAGTTCTAAGCGCTTTACCATTTCCATTAAAAATTGATTAGCCACGCTCAAACTGCACCCATTTTCCGTTGCTTTGCATTTAAGCGGGCAACTTTAAAGTGAAAGTTGTAGAAGAAGAAAAAAACGAAGGTGACAAAAGCTGATGACACCATTTTGTGAGCTGTGCATGAAAAGTGAATTGCCAAGAAAGTGAAATTTTAATTATTTGCCTATGTGTAGGTGTGTGCTGGTGTGTGTGTATTTGTGTGTTCCCTGAATGACAGCTTGGCTTGAGCACTTGGGCTGGCTGACTGGCCTGGATGTAGACAGGACGCACACATCCTGCCAGGCCGCCTGCCAGGCGAGTGTCGAGCAAATTACATGCAACGTCATGTGGCATGTGGCATGTGGCATTTGGCTCATTCGCACCATTCGCTAAAGGTGGGCGAACGTGGAGTGTTGGATTGAGTGCGAGCGAGTGTGAGCGTGTGTTAGACATGTTGCATGCTGCATTCATTGGGGCAAAGTTTCTGTTGCGTAGAGGGCAGCCAAAGGTGGCTTTCATTTGTACCAACATATATCAAGTCGGGTGCTAGGCGTTTGCTTTTGTTAGTGAGACAACCTCAATTCATATTAGATTCTCTATAGAGTATGTCTGTGTGCGAGTGTGTGTTGTTTGTTGCCTGTCTGCCTGCCTGCCTCACAGTGTCCCGGGCAAAGTTGGGATTCAAACTAAAAATGGAGCGCACAAACAAAAGACACTGCGCCTGAAAGCCACGCAGTCAAAAAGGGGGTGTGGCACGGAGAAGTGCAGTGGAGAGCAGCGAGAGTAATGGCAGCAGTTGGGCTTGCACTGGGATAGCTGCTGCTCGAGGCATAAAAATAGGCCTACAACTGCGCATTCACTGGCGCGCGCTAAAAGTCACACACAGAGCGAAGAAGAAAAACTGCTGCAAAGCATTCACAATCCACACACACATGTGGCATGTAAATAAAATGAATAAATAAAATTTTGCACATGTGTTGTGTTCACACCTGCCGCTAAAATACACATACACACTCGCATACACTCTCACACACATAAAAGTTGCGAGCCCAAATGAAGTGCGAGCTGCTCGCTGCGAGTTGCGATATTTCGTTTTGTTGCTGCTGCAAAATGAAGTTGAAAACAAATGCGGCACAATGCTTTGGCCACTGGCTGGTTATACCCTGTAATAGTGTAGGATGTGGATATGAGAAGTGCAAGAGCAAATATGTAATTATGTGTGGTGTATAGAAAGTCGCCAAAAAAATAGCTGCAATAACGATCTGAAGTGCTCAGAGCAAATGAAGAGAATTGTAATAATTTAATAAATATTTTTTTTTTAGAAAATTATAAAAATTTCTTTTTCTAATATTTTATTCTAATATTAACATTATATTGTCTGATTGATGACAATTGCAGAACTTCATAAAAGTACTTAAGCACCGTCTCTCATGAATGTGTAGTGCTCTCTAGTCAGCTACAGGTCATCTGCCAGTTGTTCACACAGTAAGAAAGTTTCCTCTCCTGATTCTTCGCTGCTTTTCAGTTGTTACTCAAAAACTGCTGGCAGTAAAAACTGCAGCACGCACACACTCCAGCAGCAGCAGCAGCAGCAGCAGCAACAACAATAACAACAACAGCAATTACAGTCGCTGTGCCAGGCATAAAAATGCGAAAATCGGGTCATTTTGTTACAGTGGAACCGGAGCTGGGGGTGTTAACACAGCCATCAGTTACCCTGTAAAACAGCACGGGACCAGAACAATGCAACAAGAACAGTTATGTACGGCTGCTGTTGTTGCTGCTGCTGTCGTTGTTGCTGCTTCTGCTGTTGCTGCTGCTGCTACTCCTGCTTCATCGTAAAGTTTATGTTCTGTGCAAAGTGTCAGCGCGTCAAGTCGAAGTATGTGTGTGCACCTGACTGACTGAGTGACGGACTGACTGGCTGACTCTGAGTCTCTGTTGCCAGCTAGCGGTGCTTAAAGTTTTTATTTAAGGCATAAGTTGCGAATTGCTTAGGTGTGGCAAATGCCATTGTGCTGCTGCTGCTGCTGCTGCTGCTGCTGCTGCTGCTGCTGCTGCTGCTCCTGCGGCATGATGTTGCATGTAAGTCTTGCTGCTTATGTGCCGCAATTAACGCCAGCAATCAATGTGGCAAACTTCTCAAATGCGCCCATAAACGATTCAAGTATTAAGACTTGGCATATAAATTTATATAAAACATGATTCTTGTTCCGACTGGCTGTCAAAGTCAGAAGTAAGAGCGATAATGTGCAAATTTATAAGTGAGGTAGAAATTTACAACTGATGAGGTGTGTGAGTGTGCGTGAGTGTGAGGTGTGAAATACTTTAATTTGACAACATTTGGCACTGCATTGCAATGCATTGGCTACAATTTCAAGCTTTGCTTAATATGTTTTGTGTAGTAATACTATATATATTTTCATATAGTATATATGTATTCACAAGCCGAAGGCCCTTGCTGCCAGTGCTTAACCTTAGTTAGATTTCATATTTGTTATGTATTTTATATCTCTATATAAAGTATTATGTGAGCTATTTACACTGGGCGTATCATATAATTTGATTCAAAATTTAAAAGTATATATCTTTTTCTTCTTAAAAAAAAAAAAAAAATTGAGTTTGCTTTCGTTAGTATAAAACTTATTACATGAATTTATGCGTTTAATATTAGAGCCTATAAAAAGAGATATGTTCAGACTAGTATATCTTCCAAATCTATATCTAGATGATTATTTTGGCAAACCTTTATATTAATTAAGTAGCTTAAATTTTAAGCCTAAATCTAACTAAAGATTAAATTTTGAAGCTTAGCTAAAAGAAATTATATTTAATATATTAATAACGATTCCTAGCTTTAATAATGTCATATATCTCGCAAGTATTTCCAGCTGCTAGTTATGCAACTTTACTTGGATATATATACATATATGTTACATTTTAAATCAATATCATATATAACTCTTACAATTTTCTCTTATTCTATAGCACATAAATCTTTTCTATTTCTGACCAATTCTCGCTGTCTGCAGCCAAAATAATTTCAAATTTTGTTATTTACACTTGAGCGTAATATTTATGTGCTTTTCGTTCCTTCTCTCTCTCTCTCTCTCTTTCTCTCTTCTTCTCCTTAGCAAATGCCTCCATCGTTTTCAATTTTTTTCGGCTCTGGCAATACTATAACATGCTCCCTAGGGATATTGAGGCATTTGACACTAGCAATATTTTAAGTGTTAAATGCATTCGCAGCTGCATTTGCATATTTTACGTGCACGCTGCTGGATGCCACGGTTGCCTGGGCAACAGTTAGGGGCGGCTTTTTTGAGGGGTTTGTGGGTGGGTGTAACGGGGTATTCGGGGCTGGTCTCAAAGCAATTTGAAGATTTAACACCTGACAGCTGCCTCAGCTGGTGCTCCTGCTGCTGCTGTTGGCAGCTAGTGCTAGTGGGCGTGGCAAGGCCAACGTAAAGGCCAAGCGTAGTTGTCCCCAGAGCAGTTGCAATTCAATTTAAAGCACAAAAAACTGCCACACACAGGAGAGAGAGAGAGAGAGAGAGAAATCGAGAGAGAGAGAGAGTGAAGTATAGAGATTGAGAGAGATAGCCGAGTGTGGGCAACTGTAAAGCATCATCAATTCAGCTGCTTATCAGCGAGACAGTCAACGTCTCTTATCTGTCAAGTTGCCAAGTGATTAAGCTTTAAGGATGCCAACGCAAGCTGTTTAACTGAGCGTGCCCAACAATGGAGCTAGCTGGCTTTTGGTGGCGCTGGTGTTGGGGACTTTGGAGTTGGGTTGGGGGAGGGAGGGGTCATGCTCCTGCTCAAGGATAGTTGCGATTATCTTCTATGCTATCTACTATGCATTTTTATTGCCTGTGATTTATACGGGCGTCAGAGCACATGTCATAATTGCGCCCCTGGGAGGTCAGCTGTAAAAAGGACACGGACATGCGGCAAAGCCAAATGCAGCAACAATCCAGAACAACAGAGCAAAACAGAGCGAAAACGGAAAGCGAATCCTGCTTTAAGTACTGTTTGTTGCACTGCATGTGGCTGCGTGTGTGTGTGTGTGTGTGTGTGTGTGTGTCTATGTAACACTCTCTGTGCGGCATTGCTGAAAATTGCATTTGAATAAGTTACAATTTATGCGTCGGATTGTGCTACAAATGTTGCAGCTCAGCAACATGCTGGAGTTGAGAGCGTGTCACGAGTCACGTGTGATAGGCATCAGCTGGAGAGATAATGTTT